CAACCCCCCCCCCCCCCCCCCCCAAAAAACAATAAAAAAAACCCTAAACTATGTGGAAGACGAACCTCCCCGTGACTCAGAAAACAGCCAAAATTCCTTCACGGGCTTCAAATTTTGTGGCTTCCAAAACTCCTCACATTCTCTATAAATAAGACACCGAGAAAGAGTGAGCTTTACACTTAACTTCTTAAACCTAATTAATATTGGTAGTGATCTTAAGTTCACGATGGGTGGAAATTTCAAGTTGGTTTTTGTTTTGGTGGTGGCAATGGCTGTGTTGCTCGAAGGGTCGAGAGTGTTGGGGTTGTGCAATATGAGCGATGAAGGCTTAGCTTTTTGCAAGCCAGCGGTGGCAAAGGCAACTCCCGATAAGCCAAACCCAGAGAAGCCAACTCCCGAGTGCTGTAAGGCTCTCGAAGGAGCTGACTTGAAATGCCTGTGTGGATATAAGAACTCGTTTCTTTTGCCTTCTTTGGGCATCGACCCTGCCCTTGCCATGGCTCTGCCTGCTAAGTGCAACCTCACCCCTCCTGCCGATTGCTAGGAGCTAAGCTAATCATCCACATCAAATATTTGTTTTCAATCTTGTGTGTGTGTGTGTGTGTGTTCGTGTTGTGATGTGGTTTAAGCTTGTCCGTATCTTTGTTTTTCTTTTTTTCAAGTGTAATTGGTTTGTCTAATGAATTCTATATTTTGTTTAAGAAAATGAATGTGAGGGGTGTGGAAGCAACACGCCTATCCTTAAGATCATGGAGCATGGATCATGACCAACTTAACTAGGGCACTTCTTGTTATTGATACTCTCTACTTTAAACTTTGGGGTATAGACGAGCAATGCATCTACTGGTTATATCAAACTCTTTCTCGGCCTATGGGAATGAATGAGAAAGTATTGGCTTTAAACTATGACCATACCGTAGTTTCTATTTAAGCATGACCTGATTGATCACTTTTAGGTTGTGGGCAATTTGGGTTACAAAAGGAATGAAAAAACCTAACTGCGGATAAGGTTCAATTCAAGCCCATATGGGCTCCATTAGGAAATGCAGGGGCTCTTATTTGGCAGACAATATAGACTGCGATATCATGTGCCCATATGTGTTGATATTTATAAGTGAATAAACAAGTTGGTGCTCATAGCATTGATATCATGTGCCACGTGTTGATATTTATACGTGAGTAAACAAGTTGGTGCCGTAGCGTTATTGTTCGGGTAAAGGATTGCAAATTACAAACAACATAAAGGTAAAAGCCTCAACTTTAGAGCTCTCTTAATACGCACTAACCTAAATGAGATGTCGACCAAACATATTATAACTAAAAATAAATTTATAATATACGTGACCAGAATTTATAAAGTACCAACTTCCCCAATTTTTAATTGATAATTATTACCAACATAGTGTTAATAATATTATAATTTCACGTCCCTTTCAATTTACCACTATACTATCAATTTACCACTATACTATCAATTTACCAAAGAAAAAATGATTACCCAAGGGATTGGCCTCACGACTTACGAGACTCCGAACATGGATGGCTTCCAGCCATACCAATGCTCATTTGCTACATGTTGTTCCGATTTCCCAAGCCTCTCTCTCCGGGACCACCACTGGGACTCACTCTTATCCAACCGCCATGCCCAACCAGATTTTTCAATCCCTCCAACAAACACACACTACTCTAGCTCTACACAAAAAATTATAAAAATACCTAAAGTTGTATTCTACAGACACGTGGCAAACGACACAATGGTTTGCCGTACGACCAGCATGAAGGTCGTCGTCTAGCCACAGCCCCACCCAACTTCCTTTTCTCTGAAAACAGTACTAACCCTAAGCGAAAGGGACAGAGCCTTCGTCCTTCCTTTCTCATTCGCCCAACGACGTATTGAATAATCGAGTATAATAATATTAAGACAAAGCTAACCAATATCCACAGCAGATTAATGGAAATGTCACAACTACCCCTACCCCTGTCAACGGCGTAATAATTGCAAAGACCTACCCACCCATGAACACTGCCATTACAATGAAGAGTCAGTCACTAAACAAGAAAATGGAAAATGAAGCATGTTCATAATAATTAGCATAAACTAAATTAATACTTATAATAAAATAAAAAACAAATTAGAAGTCATAAGATATTACTGATCATATCATATTTCCTTTGTTCAAAATAACCCGAGACCATGATTAATCGTTCAAAATATTGAAGGCAAGCTACGCTACGCCTAGGATCAGCCTAAACCTAACAGCTAAAGGGTCCACATTTCCCCAGATAAAAGGGTCCCACAACTTGATTAAACCAAAGCAAAAACCAAAAGATTACACCAGAACGGTGGATCTTCATCAGATTGGGTCAACTTCAGATCAGATCAGACGGTTACCGGAGCTTCCGACTCAGCTGCGGCCTTCTTGGCAACCGGGCTGGTGAAGAACCAGAGAAAGCCGAAAGGGTCCCTGACCTTCCCCACAGGCTGCTCCGGGTCAGAGAAAACGCCAGTTGTTATCTCTCCCTCAGAGACAGCTCCGGCCAGCACGGCCTTGGCTACAGCAGCTCCGATGTCAGGCGTCTCAAGCCAGAGAGCAATGGCACCAGAACCCACAACATTCACGCTGTTTGAACAAAAATAAATTATTATACATCTTAAAATCTGGAAATAAAATATCTCGGCTAAAACTCAAACCCAAAATTCCAAAAGCACCACAGACGACTCGAGCTAAAATCAAGAACTAGGGTATAAATAGTTAGATCTATCATTTTAGCTAATTTTTGCAGACCACAAGTAGGTTACAACAACACATACAAAAGAAAAAATAGCATCTCAATGTTACTTGATAAATATTTTAAGAATGCTGAAGATAAAATATAACAGCAAATAAAAATGAAAACACAAGTATAAATACTAGCAAATATTATTTAAAAATTAGATAAAATTAAAAGAAAATAACATAAAATTAAAAATAAATAAATAAAAAAGAACACAATGAAATAGTATGTGTTACTCATTTAAATGCTATTTCAGCTTATCATATCATGTGGATCTAAAAGGATCTAATATGCACAAGTATGTGTTGTCAGAGACGAGAAATGTGGAGGAGCCGAGCTTGAGCTGAGCAGAGAGGATAAGCGGGCGCTCTTGCTCTGCCTTGCGCTTGGGGTGAGTTGATCGCTCGAGCTCCACAGCACCGAAAGCAGCCTTGTAGAACTTAACAGCGTCGTCGGCCTTGGGAACCACCAGCTGAGTCAGCACCGCCTTGATCTCAACAGCTGACGCGACCTTCTCGCCTTCTCCGTTCTGGACGTCTTGCTGTGCCATTGAAGCTCAGAGAGTGAAAAAGCAAAAGCTGAGACGAAAAGGACACAGAAAACCCTAACCCTAGGAGAGAAGAAGACGAAGAAGAAGACCAGAGAGAAGAATGGATGAAAATGAAATAGGCGTGGGGTCTGGGTATGGGGTGGGGCAGGTAATTTATAGAAGCGGGGAAGCGCAAGCGTTGGGGTGAGGATACATCGGGTATTAAACAATTGTTCGGGAACGACGTTACCCTTGAATGTGGAGGTAAATTACGGATTTTTACCCCTTGGCGTGTCGCGTATTCAAAAGGATTTGCATTTTTTGGTTTTACGTGTGTTTGGACGGTTGGATTAGGATATCGACCGTCTCTCTCCGTCTGTTCAGTTTCTCATGACCTTTGGGGTAAATACAAAAAGATCATATATTTATGGAGACCTTAATAAAATAAAAATTATTATTAAAAAAATAAAATAAAAATAATCGTCCACGCTGTGCCTAAAATCCGTACCTTCTATCCTTGCCCTTTTAATGTTTTATATTTTGGGTCTCAAGAAGGAACAATGGGAGCAAAGGCCCAAAACGAAGGGGTCACATTTTGGTTATTTTATTATGCTCGTTGACCCCTTCACCAAAATGTGAAATAGTCTTAGCTTAGGTATTCCACATTTGATGTGTTGGATTGAATTAGACTATTTCAATTAAATTTGAGAAGTGCCGATTATTTTTTAGTAGGTTGAAATTATACAACAGTCTAACATATTGTATCTTATAAGTTTCATCAAAAAGAGTAATACTCAGTAAAATTAGCTTGTACTCAATTCTAATTAAGTCCAAGTCGAGTCACCAAACAATGTTGTCACACAATTATGTAAACATATACTATCAATATATAAATAAATGTATTTCAATGTGAATATATTAATAACAACACATGACGATGTGATGATCACAACTAATATACATTCAATTGTTAATTTGTACACTGTCCATATGATACTCTTCGTTTTTGGTTTTTTGTTTAGTTTGAAGAAGAATGTTGTATGTGGGCAATTGTTGAGTATTTTTTATGTGTTAAATTAATATATGCATGTTGGTCCCGTTCCATCCTCCCTCCCAGGCCTCTCTGACAAACTATCTGGTTAAGGATTTCTGACCAGTTTCTCATGGGTTTTCGCAGAATTAAAATAATAATATTGGGCAGGGGTAGGGTCATGAAAACTCATGATGCATACATGCTCTGCTGCCTCCTTCACTTTTATCTGGGCTTTGGGTGGTTTTACTTTTACCTTTTCGCCACTGTCCAACTACTCATTATTACCACTGTGCCTTCACCTTTTGGCAGCGCAGGGTAAGCTCCCATACAGATTCACAAGTTCTCAACTAGAGACAACCCATCAAACTTTACTTCATGGTTTTTTCTGGGAGGTGATTAAAAAGCTTCTAACAATTAATCATTGGGCTAATTACTCTAATGGTCTAATTAAACCCCGAAATATGTATATTATTAGTACTATTCAGAACTAGCTGTAATTTGGCCCATTGGGTTTCCATCTATTTGTTTGGTTGGCCTGATTAATTGGGGTGAGCCCAAAAATTATATGGCTCGTTCATTTTAAAGAAGTTCTCCTTCTCATTCATGATTCTTTTGTTTCTCATGTAAATTTCAACATCGAATATGAAATAACTAACTGATTGTGAATGCAGTATGACTTGGGTGAACTTTGTACCTATCTTCTCTGAATGATTATCCACTTACGGTTTCGAGAATGAGGATCAAATTTTGACATCAACACCATCAATTACATTACATGAAAGTGACAAATGATGCATGAAAACAAGACACAAATCAAAATACAAGTGAAAACAAAAATACATAGTACAATGCTGCATTGGTTCATTTCTATCTTTCTTCTAAGCTCTCACTACTAATAAAACCGATGCCGAAAAGTGAGTAGGGCTGGCCATGGACGGAAGCTTAGTTGAAGAAGCAAATGATTTGATATGCAAGTTTGTCCCATTTTCTTGCCAAGTTACCAGTATAAGCCCAAACCATGCCACATGGTTTGCTCCAAAACTTGTTGCATAGGCTTATAATGCATGTCCAATATGGCAATATGATTTTATTTCCTCTAGTTTCAGATTCTTCCGTATTCTTTTACCTCTTGCATGGTTTATTTATATTGAAGCATATGAGGATGAACGTCATTTGGAATTTCATATGATGCCAGCGCACCAAAAGAACATTAAACTATTCATAATTTTCACAAGCAGACAAAATAACAAGAGCCGTCTTAGCTCAGCCGGTAGAGCGCACGGCTTTTAACCGTGTGGTCGTGGGTTCGATTCCCACAGACGGCGAGTTTATTATTTTGGCTTTATTTTTTTATCACATCTCTGGTTCTAACACAAAAACCCATCCAAAACCCCAAAACCATAGAATCCAAACAAGAAGAAAAAATGTTGCAGAGCAACAACATGTTTCCCAGTTGTTCATATCCATCTGCACATACTCTAAACCCAATCATTAATTCTCCTTCTCTCCTGTCTTTCCCTTCATTTTCATTCACCACAGTGTGCTCTCGCCACAACAATTTGCCCCAACCTCAGTTTCAAGCAAAGCAACCCAACAAGAAGAAGAAGAGGCAGATGCTGCGCTTCTGTGGGACTTATGAGGTGGGTGGAGGCTACCCAGATGAGGAATTGGGTGGGCAAGAGAAGAGTAGAACTACCCAAGAGCAAGGCAACTCAACATTGGACACTGCCCAGTATGAAGCTCTTCTCAAAGGTGGTGACCAAGTCACTTCTGTTCTTGAAGAGATGATCACCCTTGTAAGTTTTTGCTCCTCTCTCTCTCTCTCTCTCTCTCTCTCTCTCTCTCTCCGTAGATTGGTTGCTGAGAAATTGGTAGAGAAGGAAATGATGGATAATTTGGTATAAGGCTTAGTTGAGTCAAATTTTGTATTATTTTCAGTTCATTTAAATACCTATTGTAAATGTGGAATTCATATGGTTTTCATCAAAATGATGATATAATTTGCCATGTATCAACTGCCCTGTTGGCTAATTTTGCGGAAATTGGATTATGCAGCTGTTTACTATCTGGAGGTTGCTTGCGTTTCATCTGCACATAGCTCTTTTTGCTCTTTGTTTTGAAATCACGAGCCAACTGATGCTTCATTTTAATGATTACTAGTTTTGTACATGCACAGTTGGAAGATATGAACATGGATGAGGCATCTGAAGAGGTGGCAGTGGAAATAGCTGCACAAGGGGTCCTAGGGAAGAGAGTTGATGAGATGGAGTCGGGTTTCATGATGGCGCTAGATTACATGATCCAACTTGCTGAGAATGACCAAGATGATAAGGTTCTATTTCAACTTTACATATCACACTTTCTTTAATGTGAGATAATCTGCCCCAACTTAGATTGATCTGACAAGATTGGGCAATGAACACACGCTAACCGTTATTTTTATCAAGTTTTAGTCAACCACATCCTATCATTTCTGTACTTTTTTCGGCATGCACATCGATGTGATCTTTGGTCTCTTGCACTATACTAATGTTCCAACATTTGATATTGTATGTGTACCTTCATTTGACGATACATGTTTTTCTGGCTTCCTTTATATTGGCACCACTAATTAGTTTCTGTAATATAATGCTAAGAATGATGAATGATGCATTTTCTTTTTGTGGGGAAAAGGGCAGGAGAGAGGAGGTAACATAAGTTTAGGTTTTGTGGTATGTTTGGGTCGTGGTGGCTGAAGACTGTATCTAAAAGCTGGTTTTCGTGCCCATTGTTGTCACGTCATGCTGGAAACTGAACCTCTTCATAATTCATTGCAGCAGCAGCTATGATACTATTCATGGCTGCAAGCTTCAATTTCAGTACACGAGCTTTTGTGGCAACTTACACACACTTTTTAGCCCTGCTGCAGTTTGAATTTTGCAATAGTTTTGTTTTTTAGGTAAAATCTAGCCGACGTAAAGCTGGCTGCTTTTTGGTCAAACATTCAAATACCCCACGTCGTCGTATGATTTAATCTCTTGTGACCAAACTTAGCTATGGATTATTTACTCAAGGACTGTTTTGATCATCAATGTTCAGCGCAAGTCATTATTGGAGGTGATCAAGGAGACCGTATTATCCTATCTTACGAAAAAATGCCCCCCACATGTAAGGATTTTTCTTTAAAGCAAATTTCTGATTGTTGCTTCAGAGTAATGGCTAGTCTAGGCAATTGTGGTTATTGGATTCTAGTTTCTTTCACTTTACTTTTTTATATTATTTATTTCTAGGTTCAAGTGGTTGGCCTGCTCTGTAGAACTCCTCAGAAAGAAAGCAGACAGGAATTACTACGCAGAGTGGCTGCAGGTGGTGGTGTGTTCAAAAGTAAGAATGACATAAAAGTTCATGTTCCAGCTGCAAATCTTAATGATATTGCTAACCAGGCTGATGATATACTGGAGGTAGTCACTGCAAATGCTATCTTCTGCATAAGTGTTTTTTTGGTTATTGATGATTGCATATCATTCTGGGCACTAGCAGCAAATTTCTCCCTCTTTAGGGTTGTGTTCTATCATTTGGTTTACTTGGGATTGTTGGAACTGCTCTAAAATGTTGGAACGAAGAAATAGTAATTTTAGCTTACAGACACTATACTTTAATATGTAATGATATTCATTAGCACTAACTATGGTCTTTTCATGCTTTAATGTCTTATTTTGTTTCTTGAAGTGTGTATTCGTACTTTGTTTTATTAATAATTCAAGTTAATATAAGCCTATTTTCATTTTTGGAAGACAATGGAAACTCGGCCTGTAGTTCCAGATCGAAAACTGCTTGCAAGACTTGTTTTAATCAGAGAGGAAGCTCGGAATATGATGGGAGGTGGACTACTAGACGAGAGAAATGATCGTGGCTTTAACACTCTTCCAGAATCCGAGGTCTGTATTTGTGCAATTATAAAAAGATTACAGGATACCTGGTTGATTCATTGGCCCATATCTTTGTTTGGAAAATTTTATTTTAAGTTGTTACCATCATCCTCTGTCATTGGTTTGGCATGATTAAGATTCCTGTCAATGCAGGTGAACTTCTTAACCAAACTTGTAGCTTTGAAACCGGGGAAGACTGTCCAGGAGATGATAAAAAATGTAATGGAAGGAAAAAATGAAGGTGCTGATGATGCTAGCAGTGATGAGGAAGATACCACTGGTAGAACGAGTGGAATTGCAGGAAGGGTGGGTATAATACAGTCCATAACTAGAATGTGTGTATGTTGGCAAGTCTGTTTCAACAGGGAACTGCGTGTGCAAACCCACACACCGACACGTGTCAAAATAGTTTTCAGTTTCATATTATGTTGACTCATTCATCATCATTCCCAGGAAAGCGTTACAGGACGAAAAGCCCTTCCTGTGCGCCCTGGCATGTTTCTTGAGACTGTCTCCAAGGTAAGAATTACTTGATTCACCTATTTAACTTGTAACACATTCATTTCGAGCCCTCTGGACCTGAGGATGTCTAACGACCATGGTGTGGTCGAGTTGGGTAACATTACGTTTCAGGACAATATCTATTTGGTGCTTCTAATCTAAAAGATACTTCATACCCTCTGGAGCATCTATGAGATTAAATGGGCTTGAGCCACTCTGATCGAGTTGACATATGCAGCAATCTCACTCTAAATTCCTGATTCATGCTTGGACTTGAACTTGCCAGGTCTTAGGTGGTATATATGCAGGAAATGTCTCTGGTATCACCGCACAACATCTAGAATGGGTAAAGTTTCTTCTTCTTTCAAAAGCTCAAAAAAGTTGTGCTTTTAATTCTACTGCAAAAGAATTACTGTCTTCAATTTTATTCGAAAGTTTTCTATCTAATTATTATTTTGAAGAAGTCGTAGAAGTTATTTGTAAGATATGTCGTAGCTTGCTTGAGGAAGTCATGGTGTGGAAATAGCTTGCCATATCATTTCCCACAATCATTTCCTTCACTTTATAGCCATGTTATCCCACCTTCTTCCGGAAAATCAATTCATTTTGTTCCCTTGTCTCTCACATACAGGTTCATCAGAAGACACTTGAAGTTCTTCAGGAGATAGCATTTTGAACTTTTTATGGTAGGTGCACCATCTCCGTTTTTTTCCTAATCACGCGCCGTTTGAACGGAGAATTTTATTTAGCTTCAGTCTAGAAATTACCAATCTTTCCTAGTGAAATTCACCAAACTAATTCTTTTTTCCAATCTGTTGCCAATGATAATAGGAATCAAACACAAGTATGCCTGAAATCATACTTTGTTGAAAGGAAAGTACCCAGAATCAGAAAAACTTATGATGAAGATTCAAGAGTCCAATAAACATACACTAGTGCAACACCATGTGTGGTAAGGCCCCACAAGTATGGATTTTGATACTTGCATCAGTGCACACATCAGTGGACCTCCTTGGTAATCATTCATATGCCTTGAGAAGTAGAAGCAAACACAGCAAGGATTGATCCACATTCCCTCCTATTCTTTAAAAAGCTATTTCCCATGCCCTCTTCATGCCCTTTTTTATTTTTATTTTTTTGAATTTTATTTGCCTTTTGTGTAAAGCAAATATGATATGAAATGTATATACACTTTTCTACCCACTTGGATTTGGCACCACGCCTACCAATCTTGGTCCTCCCCCATGCTCTCTTGTTTGCAAAATCTCTTTGTTTTTGTTCATGGGATTAGCTTGGATTATAAAAAGCAGAGTTGCCCACCTGCACCGTCTTTGCAGATTGGTGCCTCAAAACTATACGAAATATGGAAGTTTATGACCCACGAATCTGATTATACTTTAGCATATGCTCCCTATAAGAGACTGAATTAGGAGTATTTGATTAATTATATGGTGATTATTGAGCTGCTTAATGATTATGAATGAAAAGCCAAATATGACTATGCTCTCTGGATGAATTTTTTCTACTTCATTTCACATGTTTATTTATAAATTTGTATAATTTAAATGGGTTTTCACCATATTTTAAGACTCGAAAGGAGAAGGTAAATACTAGTTACTCTGACCTATGACTATGAGGTAATTCAACGGCAGTGCATCATTATGTCTTCGAAAAATCTCCTTTATGCAGTCATAATTCTTATTGATACAATAAAAGATATTCTACTTTAATATAATATAATCTATACTATTAAACTCGGGTACATGAATAAAGAAATGAAAGGTGGAAACTTATCATTTGGTTTTGATTTTTGGTCGAAGAAAAATTTGGTTGAGAGAAGGAAAATAAAGAAAAGGTGGAAACTTATCATTTGTCATGTCTTAAGATTACAAGTAAATTTCATCACAAACCAAAAAAGGGATTACAAGTGAACCAACCAACCAAGTGAGGCATTGTGTTAATGTTTTGGAGGAAGGTGCGTACCTTTCTTCCTGCCTTTTTGAAACATGGCCTGTTCATTTTTCGGTTAACAACTAAAGAAGGTTCAAAAGGTAAAAAGTTATTGTTCTTGTTTCCTTTTCATACAAACTTTATAAATCACCAATTAATTGGTGAAATGACTACATTGTCGGAAGCATGTATCAACGTAAGCTAAAATGGTGAAGCTCTTGGGGTTGGTCCAAGTGATAAAAGAGTGAGTAGGAAAATGAATTAAAACTGTGTTTAGGTAAAGAGTTCGATTTTCTTCTATTGTAATAAACGAATAAATATGCAATAAAATTCTTGACGCATATTTGAAAATTGGATACAATAATCTAACAAAGGAAACGCAGAAAATAGAAAATAAAAAATAAATCTCAAAGGTTGTTTTTCAAAATGCATCACATCACATTTAAAACCTCAAAGTCATCACATACATCTTACCCAACATGTAGCTTGCAAATTAATGAACTCCTCTTGTTCTTGCCCTCTCACACAAGGGTCACCTTCCTACAACAATTACCTCATGTGCTCTGTTTGGCATTTTTTTTATAATCTTTTTGACAAGTTCACTGAGAATTTGAGAATGCTTGAGCCCTGTCAAATATTAATATCCAAACAGCCATTGTCTTATCAGCTCTGCTTTTTTAAAAGGCAAACCAACTTTTATATCCAAGTGGTGTGAGTGGTCCCCTAATTTGGCAAATGCCTATATCATCCATATATATATATATATATCTTCAAATAAACGATCGACCACATTAATAATAATATTTAATTCAATTCCCAGCTTGAGCTGTTGCAGTTTTGAGCAATCACTAATAACTAATGAAACAGTAAAACAACTGAAAGCCCAACTGAGCTAGCTCTAAGCTGTGTCAAACTTTGCTAATTAAAATTGTTTAATGTTCATGTTGGCCTAATTGTTTATTAATCAAAGTTCAAAACTTGAACTTTGTAACGGTTGAAACTTGAAACTGTAACACCAACTGTAGTAGGATGACGGGGACGAGGACATTTTGGTCATAATTTGAATTCTCCAACGACAATGTGTTTGTGGGTCCCCTCTCCTTTCCTCCGTAGTTGGACATGATGGTCATTATTTTGAATTCTCTATCTTCATTCAAAGGAAGCAACTTTGAAGTGTGACAGCTCTGCCTCGACCCAACTGTGTTGAGTGTTTGGCCACCCTCATTTGAGCCTCCTCCTCCTACTTGTACTGCTTCCTCTGCTCTAAAGTTTCAAACTTCAAATAATTAAAAGCCATAAATCGATTAAATAAAACTTGGGTTTGTGGGGATATCAAAGAGAAAGAGTGAAAGATTTCAGCTTTCAGCTAAGCTCAGCTCAATCCTTCATCTTCTTCTTCTGGGTAGCTCCAAAAATGTCGGGTTATGTTGGCATTCTGGTTTCAGATCCATGGCTACAGAACCAGTTCACCCAAGTCGAGCTCCGCAGCTTAAAATCCCATGTATGTTCATTGTCCCTGTCTTTTCAGCATTTGGTATTTTATTTTATTTTTTATTGACAATTTTTGTTGTTGGAAATGTGTGATGATGGTGATGAAGTTTGTGAGCATGAAGAGGGAGAGTGGAAAGCTCACACTTGGAGACTTGCCTGCCAAGATGTCAAGGCTCAAAGTTGTGGGATCAGAGAATCTCACTGACCAAGACAGGACTTCTTTCATTCAAGATTTGCATCCCAACCTTGATGAAGATGTCGATTTTGAATTCTTCCTCAGGGTCTGTTTCTACCCTTTTACTTCGAAGTTCAAACCCAATTGGCAATCAATCAACTAAATAATGCTGAATGCCCTGTTTGTTATATGTTTATTGATTAGATAATGCATATAAATTTGAACTGTTGAAGAAACTGAAGCTCAAGTTATTGATTTTAAGACCCATCTTCATCTTGGTTGAATTGGAAAATGTGGTTTTATAAGTTTGCAAAAATGGCAGGTTTATTTGAAACTCCAAGCTCATGCCACTGCTACAACAGGAAGTGGTGGAAAGAACAACTCCTCATCTGCTTTTCTCAAGGCTGCAACCACCACTTTGCTTCATACAATCAGCGAATCGGAGAAGGCTTCTTATGTTGCCCATATCAATAACTACCTTGCACAGGATGATTTCCTAAAGAAATACCTTCCTATTGATCCATCAACCAATGATTTATTCGAGATCGTCAAGGATGGAGTACTTCTATGGTGATTGATTGTTCATTCATTACTGCCACTTTTGGTATCTTGTTGTTGAGTTACTTGTTTGTGGGATTGTGGATTGGATTTTTAGGGATGTGTTTCTTTGGATGCAGTAAGCTGATCAATGTGGCAGTGCCCGGGACAATCGACGAACGGGCTATCAATACAAAGAGAGTACTCAATCCGTGGGAGAGAAATGAAAATCACACTCTGTGCCTCAACTCAGCTAAAGCTGTTGGATGCACTGTGGTCAATATAGGGACTCAGGATTTCATTGAAGGAAGGGTATGCATATATGCCTTTTCATGTACATTATATAATTGGCACATGTTGTGCTACTGCTTAATTGAGTGGAGTGTTTTAACCATACATAGTTGCAATGGATACTGACCAATATTGTCCTCATTGTTTGCTTTTCAGCGTCATCTTGTTCTTGGAGTGATTTCTCAGATTATCAAGGTAAGATTTTCATGTTTATTTAAGTTTGTTTGGATATAAAGTTCATCAGCATGAAATTTGATTTTGTAAAATTTCATGGACTATATCTGAGCCATCGGTTTCCCAATGTCATGCTCTATAGATACAATTACTGGCAGACCTCAACTTGAAGAAAACACCTCAATTGGTGGAGTTGGTTGATGATAGTAAGGTAAGAGCGTCCTAATTCATAAAAGATAGTGGCTAGGTTTTAAACCAACAAATTGTCTAATGTCTTCTTATCTTCAAAATCAACAGGATGTGGAGGAGTTGATGAGTCTACCACCAGAGAAGATATTACTGAGGTGGATGAATTTCCAACTGAAGAAAGCAGGATATAAAAAGATAGTCACAAACTTCTCCTCTGATGTCAAGGTATGAGAATAAGTTAATACTTTGTCAAGGTTGATGGACAAAGCATTCCTTCTTTATTTAGAGAAGCAAATAGGAAAGGTGTAGCCACATAGATTTGACATACATTGCAAGGATATTGCTTGTGTTTGAGGGTATGAGATACGTCTGTCTTGCAGGATGCAGAGGCCTATGCTCACCTCTTAAATGTTCTGGCACCTGAGCACAGTAATCCATCTGCATTGGCTGCAAAGAATCCTTTGGAAAGAGCAAAGTTAGTTCTTGAACATGCAGATAGGATGGGATGCAAGAGATACTTGACTGCAAAAGATATTGTTGAAGGATCCCCAAACCTTAACCTTGCTTTTGTTGCACATATTTTCCAGCATAGGTGAGAATTGAGAATTAACCCTACTTGAGCAATGTATTCCTTATAGTCTTATAGAATGGCTACTTTCATAGTGTTAAAAAGCTAAGTTCTACTCATTCACTTGTAGGAATGGGCTCTCAACCCAAACAAAGCAGATATCGTTCCTTGAAAATTTGGCAGATGACACTCAAATTTCCAGAGAAGAGAGGGCATTTCGCTTCTGGATGAATAGTCTCGGAAATTCGACATATATCAATAATGTCTTTGAAGACCTCAGAAACGGGTAAAAACTCATTTTGTTTTGAACTTCTATGATAATAAATGGTTAATATCGCTGTGTTTGTCTATCCTCCTGAACCTAAGTTATTCATATTCTGATCAACTTATTATAGTTTTGCACCTGGCGGCATGTATCTTCACATCACAACAAAACCAAAATTCCAAACTTTAAAATTTTCTAAAAACATTGAGATAATTGTTTAAATGTCATAATTGATGTAAACTAAATTCAAGTGCTTCCACAGTTAGACATTGCAAGCTATTCAAACTGATTGATCTTTAATTTCATCTGGAGCTGAAGTGAAATTGGTCCTCTGCAGGTGGGCACTTCTGGAGTCCCTGGACAAGATTTCACCAGGCATTGTCAATTGGAAGATTGCAAACAAGCCTCCAATCAAAATGCCATTCAGAAAAGTAGAAAACTGCAATCAGGTCGTAAAAATCGGGAAACAATTGAAGTTTTCTTTGGTAAATATTGCTGGAAATGATATTGTGCAGGGGAATAAAAAGTTAATACTTGGTAAGTCCGCTGGAATGCTTATGGCTAGTGCATTCAAAACACAGGAAACTATTGGTATGCTTATTATATGCTTTTACTTTTCAGCTTATTTGTGGCAATTGATGCGGTACAACATCCTACAACTACTAAAGAACTTGAGATTTCACTCTCATGGGAAGGAAATCACTGATGCTGATATTCTGGAATGGGCCAACACCAAAGTTAGTAGCACAAGAAGCAATAGCCGCATGAATAGTTTTAAGGTACCATTTGTATTTCATGTATAATAGTGATGAAAAAAGAAGTAGAAAAACAAAATGCACTTCTTTTGCCTGATATTTCCAATCATTGGCATAAAACAGTAGGAATATATTTCATCATAAGTTACTGTTCCAATCTTACAGGATAAGAGTTTGTCAGATGGCACTTTCTTCCTTGAATTGCTGAGCGCTGTGCAGCCTAGAGTGGTAAATTGGAGCCTTGTTACCAAAGGAGTAACTGGTATGTGTCCCTCTTATTTTCATGCGGTAAAAAATTTAAGTTCTTCAAGTTCGTCTGTTGCTTTGATGCCTTATGTTGTTTTCTTTAATTTCTGAACAATGTAGATGATGAGAAAAAGATGAATGCCACCTACATCATCAGTATTGCAAGGAAGCTGGGATGTTCAATATTTTTGCTTCCTGAAGACATAACTGAGGTACTTTTGGGATCATTACCTTGGCTTTGTTTTAAACTACTAAACTTTTCATCAATTCCTTTTTCTGATGAACAATTTTGTTTTCGTTTCGTCAGGTGAATCAAAAGATGATCCTTACGTTGACTGCAAGCATAATGTACTGGTTCTTGAAACAACCTGTTGAGGACAGACCATCTGGGATTTCAGATAGTGAGGGTTCCAGCCAACTGGAGACAATCTCCAATTCCACAACTGATGACTCTGCTTCTGAGTCATCAATGGAGGAGCATGGAAATTTATAAACATGCTAGGATTGGGAAACTCTTACCAAGTTTCTATTTTTAAGCTCATGAGTTTTCTCTTCCCTTTATTTTTATTTTTTCTGTTAAAATTGATTGCAAAATTGATTGCAATAATCAATATATGTAATAGTAGGAATTGAAGTGTTTTCTCAAACCAAATTTTGTTCAGGCAGCATATGTGAATAGCCTACCCATTTGTATTATTTAAATGACATTTTGATTATGTGGTCCTCTGTTGTTGTAGCATTTCTTTCAACCAATTTGGTTAAGGCTCAAAATGCAATTGTATATTAATCTGGCAACAAATAATATAACCAACCAGTTTGATGGCCTTTGATGAATATTATATTTCTTTTTTTGGCCAAAGATGCAAAGGTGGAAAATCTTGCTGTACAGAAGCCCTTTGGGGGTCAACCTAATGCCACTTGACTTGACATGACATGTCTTGTTCTTCTGTCTTAGTCTTGCAGTGGATTTTCTGTTAGGTTTTTATTTTTTTTATTTTTAGCAATCACGAATAAGATCCATGGACTTGTTTCAGTTTGGTTTGGTAAGCTTTCATAGTCCTTCTTTGATTGTGAATTAACTCAAAATGGTTCATGATCTAATTCAATATGGTAGTTCTCAAAATTTTCTATAGGGTCATTGTCTAATTGTCATTACAGAATATCAACTAAACACTGTTACGTCATTTGGTGAATAAAAAAATAAAACCCTCAATTAGACATTGTTACGTCATTTAATGAATAAAATTTGTTGTTCGTAGAAGCCACGATGACACCTGTGAGTGACTCATCACAAGCCAGTGGTGGTCCTGACTATAGCAAATTGAAGATGCATAAATTAACCAACATGTGGATAATCCTGCTTATTATCTCAACACACATAGCTTAATTATGAGTTTGTTAAAGTCTAATACTAAAGCTTTGGTTTGTGTATGGCCATTTGAAGGCAAGCCAGGCCCACCCCATATTAATTCCTCAAGCTTTGCCATTGAAGGCCAAAACAGAAACTCCATGTTTGCTCTGTGCATTGCCTTTTGTTTTGCATCTCTGTCAATCACTCACTTGAGCATACGTATATTTTCTATTTTCCAGGGGAAAACAAGCCATATGCATGCCATTAAAATTAAACTATCTTCAGTTGTCCCGTGGGATTTTCATGAGACCCAAAGGACAAATTAAACAAAAGACATAACTTTTCAACGTGCTGAGACGTGAGAGGGGCACACAAAACAGACATCGATCACCATTTTCGCTCCTTAATTTCTTGCTTTCTCACAGAGAACAGTGTAATTCAGCATCTTCCAATATGTAACTGTTCATATGAACTATTTATGTCTACATTTTTGTTGTTGCCAATAGTTAAGAACGGGAAAGGGGTTTTCTCGCACATATAGTGTCAAGGTGTTATGGAGATTTGAATATAAAACCACTTGTTAAGGCCTTTTTCATACGGCTGACCTTTTATATCTACATGTTTTATCAATTATTATGACAAACGTAGGGTGGAGCCGCCCTTAAGGTAGAGTGGACTCCAATCCTTCACAAATATTTAGAATAATAGCAATTAGTTATCCCATTTGCGCAAAATTAGTCCATTTCACCCCAATAGCTCCTCAAGTGAAAAAGAAAATTATAATTCACGCATTCATTAAAAATTTATGATTTCGCCCTTAATGATTAATCGAAACATCAAGAAGCGCATTATTATTATTGGTAATATAATTATAAAATGTGATCAATCAATTTCATCTGGTGTTATTCGTGGTGGTTCAATCAACCACAAGCATATTCGTACATTAGGCGAACTAGCCCTTAGGGTGGCAAAGGTGTTATCAGCTATGTGGTCACTCTGAGCAATACGTACAAATTCACCTGCCCCTCTCTCTCTCTCTCTCTCTCTCTCTCTCTCTCTAATACATAGCGACTTAAAAAACTTAGGTACTCAACAATGATGTATAAGTTATAATATAAAAATAAAAATTTAATTTATAAAAAATAAAAGATCAAAAAAAAAGTTTTTTTTTGGTCGAAATAAAAGATCAAATTTTGAATGTTACTTTTGTCACCAGCAGTCATAACGAATTGGATTTTAAAATTGTTATAAAATAATACTAAAACTTACATCGATTTGCAAATTCTCACTTTCCTCATAAATATTGTCACTTCACATGATCAACGGAAAACCTATACTTTATCATCAAATTCAAAGCAGTACACTTTTACACCAGTAGCTAGCTCCCCTTTTTATGGGATCTTAGTGAAAAGTTGAGACTTATGAGGGGAAATGTTCAATATGCATGTTGTCATTTCATTTAGTTCAAATCCCATATTAGGAGTTGTTCGTGTTCTCTTTTCCTATATAGAAACTCTTAATATAGGATTTTAACTTATAATATAATGTCGTTGAAAGAATTCATTCTAGTTTTAGGAGTCTGAATTCTTTCAACAACATTATATTATGAGTTAAAGTACTCTACCATTAAAACTAGAAACCTCAACGACATCTACGGCTGTCTTCCAATGTGAAGAAAATTAAAGTGACACTTGATATACAAGGCACATAACATTACATGTCGGCCGCCGGCCATTGCTATCATGTCATATACGTCCACCACAATATATAGCTAACCAACCATCACCATGCACTAAATATGTATATCATGTCATTGGCTTATAAACCAAAAGGAGACAAGTTCGAATATAATACCGAGAGAGGGATATAAACATCAAGTTAGTGAGAGAAAGATGCATAACAGAACAAAATGAAGAGAGAAAAAATTAAAAGGCCCCATAATCCAAGTGGGTAAATGGAACCATGTGCGCTCATATGCTGGTTGGTCCTTTTGTAGCCCCACGAAGCCTCCTTTTCACCTCCAAAACTCATGTTGAAAATGAAAGAGGCTATAAACTTATTATTCAATTCCATTATCTCTCCCCATCCCTAATTTAATTAATAATATTCATATTTGATTTTATTAAAGGTTGATTCTTCAAGTCTCCTTCTTCTTTACACCTCCCATTTCCAATATTCTCTCTCTCTCTCTCTCTCTCTCTCTCTCTCTCTCACTCTCAAATCCTCTTTCTTTTCCCATTTCCCTCTCATCATCTCTCTTCCTTAAATTGCCCAATCACATTATCCCTCTCTAGATCTCCTGTTGTTTTGGGGTAGTTTTGAAGGATAGACAGTGTTGTCAGAGTTCACAAACTAAATTCTCTCCTCTTTGTCCTGGTGGTTTGTGAGCAAACTGGACCCCTTTGTGTCAGAAGAAAATCTCTTATCTTGTTCATTTGTCTTTCCTCCTAAAAGTTCACCTCTAGCTTTCTAATTTCAAGTACCCCCAAGCCCAACTGAACTCTTCCATCAAACCCTAATTTTGTTTCCCCCTAGAAACATATATATACATATATAGAATCCCATGAATTCTCCCAACCCTAATTCACTGAAGTATAGGTTCACCAAAGGCTTGCTCAAAGCCCTAGCCAGAATAAACAAGCATCAACCCAGATCATCATCTTCTTCTTCAAGAGAGATCCAGCGACGATATAGGAGAATTAAGACTGCTGCATATGCATCCATGGCTTGTGCTGTAGGGACGAGAAGAGCTTGGAGCCGGGAGTTGCTTTGGAAGATCCGAAACCAAGCACGAAATGGCGGAGTTTTGAGGAGAATTGGTCGTAGTACTACTAGTACTCACTACCTCATGAAGAAAAGATCTCAGAAGAAGCCGGTTGTGGAGGGTTTAGGGCGAATCGATGAGCTGCGGAAGGTTGTACCGGGCGGTGAAGACATGGATACTTGGAGCTTGTTGGAGGAGACAGCCCATTACATGAAGTGCCTTACCACACAGGTAAAGGTGATGAGGACAATTGTGGCAATTTACTCTACTACTTGAGTGTTGACCCTAAATCCCTTACAGGAACACCAAAAAATACAAAAAAAGAGATGTATAATTATTATGTACTTGATCTGGATATGGTAAAATAAAATAAAAGTGAAAGAGGATATACAAGGTATGAAGAACTACTCTTATTTGTCAAATTGGGGAGATGTAGTGATGTTAATTATTACTTCTGTTCTTATATTTTTGTGTGTGTATATATATAAATATATATATATATATATATATTTCAATCGCGTCTTGTAGTTATCTTAATTTTTCTTATTTGATATTTCAATTTTGAGCTTCTTAAATTGCATTTCTTGATTGGAATTGCAGATAAACAGGTACAGAAATTGACTGGATCCTAATTTCAAATTAAGATATATCTACAAATAATACGCTAATTTCTTTATTTCTTTAAAGAAAAGAGGGCGTGATGAGTACAGGAGGATGGGATTGGTCAAATAATCCATGTGACCCGTGATTTGCTTTGTCCAGTTATTAGTACTCATATCTTTTCGATATGTCCTTCCTCTCCTACCACCCGATTCAAATCAAAACTAGTCACGGAAACAAATCAATCTTATTACTTTGCAGACCGGCTTGCTTGCTTCACATGTGTTTATAAATTAACTGAAAAAATAAGATCATAATTTTTTTTTTTTAAACTTAGCTATAGCATGCATATGCCTCAGTCGTGGAGATTTCGCAACGATTCGAAATGTAGCTCTCATGTTTTGTTTAGTACTATAGCTACGGACATTTTAGTTTGGGGTCCTATAAGACTTGGAGAGCTTTAAGATACATTTGTTTGAGTATATTTCGAACTAAGCATTCTGTGTACACTTGAGGATGAAAACTTTACCTTACTGATGTAGAGCCGAATACAAAAGTTATGATCTCTCAAGTGTTTTGAATTTGGATTCTCTTCCCACTCTCTCAAACCCAGCTTTCATGGTATCCTTCTTAATTTGGTTTAAGTAAATAAATGTGCTAAAGGGAATCACATTTTTAAACTATACTATAGTTAATCATATAATGAGTTAGTTAATGTGTACTCGTTACATCAATTATCATCACGCACGACCATCTCAAGTGATCCGATGAGGTCTAAAGCTATATATGTTACCTCTAAATAAGGCGTGCACAAATATGTATAGGAAGATAGAAAAAAGGACTGAGCGTGCGATAAGCTCCCTGTTCAAATTAAAGAACCCTTGGATCAATAACAAAGACAAACCTATAGCTCACTCCCTTGATGGTTTATGATAAGGCTAACTCAACTAGTGTAAACATATATCCCGATAATGTAGCCCAATCGACCTTTCGTTTG